ACATAATTAGATTTTTTAAAACATTATTTCAGAATATTGTTAGATTTTAAAGTATTTTCTAACGTTTTTCTAGTATTTGTTCCTTGCCATTTACATACCACTTATGTAAATTTACAAATTCTCATTATTTGGTAAGAGATATTTGGGCTGTTAATAATATTAAGCACCTTACACTTTGTATGATTTTATTCCATATATTATCGCTTCCATTGTAGTTCATTATATCTTGTTGAGAAGCCCAAGTTGGCCTTTTTGCAATTTAATTTTCTATTGATCAGAAACAGTTAGGTAAATGGCTTTCCCGTAAAGGTTGACCACAGTATTTGTTTAAACTCGAGAAGTCTTGCACAACTTTAGTTTATCTTTTCATAAACTTATTTGTTGAGGTCCCATGCTTAGATACCAGGCATGCAAAGGTTTTGTCACCAATGTTAGTTTTGTAAATGCTGTTTAAAACAGTACATGTTGTAGATGTATTGTGCCCTAGTATTTTCATATCGCAGTTTTATTTGTAATAGAAGTTCTCAGAAAATTGGCATAATTGGGAATACAAATGACTAAAAGAAATTTGCAAGTGAAGAGTTATTTCAAAACAAAAAAATGGGAACTTCTGGTCTAAATATCGACACATTATGTTTGATATAATTCAAATGCTTTTTTTTTCTTCATACACAGATTTGAAATAACTTTGATTTAAATAAAAAATTTCTGAAGGACAAACTGAATCTAATTTTTGTTTGTTGTGGGTTTTTTTGCTACCCCTGAAAATTAATTTTTTAATGTAGCTATCAAACAGAGAAAAAGTTAGGACTGACATAGGATTGCTCTGGACATATCAAAAAATTGAAATCCTAAATTAAAAAATTCCTAAGTTTAGCTTTTCTGGCTTCCTTGGGAGGGAGCAATAACGTTTTAGTAAAACATGATCTACAATTAATTATTAACTGTGAATGGAATGTGTTGGTGGTATTTCTGTTCATCTGCAGCAGAAGCCAAACACAGTTTAATCCAGAATCGTTAACATCTATGGTTTGCTGTTTGTTGTCATAGACACTATGACTATTTTAATATATTTTTTTGTTTTGCTATTTTCTGGAACAACTTTTAGCCAAGAGAAAATGTAAGTAAAGCAAATACAGAATTTACTGGAAATGTTACTTGATTGTTGTCCGCTATTTTAGGTAAATAGTTACAGAATTTAAGTAGAGCCAATACAAAAGGCACTATCCATGTTGTGTTTTCATGGGCAAAATTCTCACTAGTGTATGTGGGCCTAATGCTAGAGAAAGGGGTGATGGTTCTGGAATTACTGTATTTGCTGCCAAAGAAAGAGGCAGAGTCATCTTAAGTGCCACAAGATAAACATGCAAAAAAGTTAAGAAATAAAAGCTGGTGCTTATTAGCTTTTCTACAGTGCTTGAAAACAGATACTTTGCTACAGGTTTGATGAAAGCTCTTACTTAAATGTGTATTTTACAATCGTACTTAGTGGTGCTTTTTTCATTCTTATATCTGTTAACAGTGTCATATAGAAAGCAGCCAACCTAAGTGCTTTTGGCATTTCAGAAAAAGATGATGTATGTATATCAAATGTTTTGTTCAGTGGCGCTTCATATGTATTTTAGACACATTATGTGGTCAGGTACTAAAGCTTGGCTTGTGCTTCTGTGAAATGATGCGTGCTTCAGTTTATAAAGCACTGAACAAATTAGAATAATCCTGAAAAAATTTATTCATGTTTGCAAAATCAAATCCATAAACATTACCTAAGCTGTTATTTGGTAATGTTACATTACAGTTTTCATAAAAATTATTCTGACTAGGGCTGTACTGTTTTTAACTAGTGTCTTAGAATAACTTAGCCTTATTATCTTGTTTGCTTTAACAGTGTGTACATGAGTGAATTACAAATGGAAGTAAGAAATCTGAAAGAAATATAGTTCCATTACCCTTTTATTGTTTCCTATTCCATATACAGATATGTCCTCATAGCACCAAAGATCTTCCGAGTTGGGGCGTCTCAGAAAGTCTTAGTTCAAGCTCTTGGTTATGAGAACGCATTTTCGGTCAATATTGCCATAAGAAGCTTTCCAGATAAGCTTGCTGTTTATTCTTCTGGCCATATCTCTTTAACTCCAGCCAACAAATTCCAAGATGCTGTAACTTTAAGAGTAAGGAATCCAGATTTTTCTTGCAGTGTTTTTATTGTCACATTTAGTTATAAGTGTTAAAAAAGATTGCGGTAAGTTTTCAGTTGTTTAAACTGGAAAGAGAAGCCTAGTGTCCCAATTTCTGTTTGCCACATGTAGTTTATTTCATTTTAGTTTGTCTGAAGGTGAAATTACATTTGATAAAATTAGTGTAAAGAAGTGACACCGAAGTTAAACATACAATCAAGCTATTTTAGAAACATTGGCATAGTTGCCTAGCTTTAAAACATAGGAAGGGGGAGAATGGAGATGTGTTGAATGTGGACAAGATATGTCAAAGGAGCATTCAGAGTAAGTCAAAATGGTAACTAAACCAAGGTTCAAGACTTGGTCTTGTTTGTCAGTAACAAGCTCCAAAGGGGCCCAGATTTCACCATAAAGCTTTATTTAACTAATTGGCTTGAAGCAAAGAGTGCAGGAAGCAAAGTAGATTTTTACTGAAAGCTGATGACCAGGAAGGTTTTACTTGGGGTGATGCCTCCCAGGTGATGCTTCCTTTTCAGCCCAAATTGCTATTTCATGAAACTACCAACCACAATGCAACTTTGGTGTGGCCAAGAATTATCGTGTATAAATGGAAGTCTGATAATTTATACTCTTGTAACCTCATAACTGGGCTTTGCACTTTGCTCTTTTAGTTCTGCATGTAAATAAAATGCAAAATTTCAAAATATCTGTTTGTAGCTTAATACTCTAGGCAGTCATCTATGATGTAAGCCAGAATATAAGCCCTTGTAGGTGTTGATGTTTTTATTTAATAATAATAAGCAACAGGATAGTAATTGCTATTCAGATACTCTTCTCAATAAAAAAATACTGTATAAAAAATACTTAAAAATATTTAAATATTCTTTAAAAATCTTTATTTCATCTCCCCCAGATTCAACCAACAGATTTACCAAGAACAGATAATTCAGTCAAGTATG